TCTTCTTATTGCAAGATCGAGTCGCGAACGCTGGCCCCCTCCAAACTCAAACTACAGCCACGACTTCCCCCAGCCCTATGACTTAGGCCCCTAAATCACAGAACTCTTCATAAAGAGACTGAGACCCTTGTAGAAGCCCAAGGCCCCTACAGTACACGGCACGAGCTCTCAGAACCGGCTCTGCTTCCGCACGCCGAGGCTGCAGCTGTCGGCTCCGGTGAACTCCGTGGCCTTCGATTCCACAGGCTGCGCCGGGTTTGGCTTTCGGCCTTTAAAGGGATCCGGTTTAGGGGTTTGGGGTCAAAGGGTTGGGTTCAGGGCTTAGGGGGTTTCGGGTTTTAGGGCTCAGGGCCTAGGGTGCTACTCTCATTTCTCCTTGTCGATTATCATGAATGGGAATCGTTATGAGTATCATGATCAGTCATGATTGCTGCGGTTATTGATATGAGGATCACTGTCTGCTTTTTCTCGGGCTTGGTGCACAGCGTTTTGACCCATGTGTTCTTCACGCCAAAGCAAAGCACAGTCGTTCGGGGTTTCAGAGACGAGCTTCGAGGCCTGGAGTTTGCAAGATTTCTCGAAGGTTGGTGTTCAATTCAGGAGGCTTCCTCCCGCAGTTTTGCAGGCTTCTGAGAGCCCTGCGGCCTCGAAGTCTCAAAGCCTTCACCTTTCAGATTCGTTTCGGGCTCACCGTTTAGGTTCCAAGGTTTCCAAAGCCCAAACCGCCGAAACCCTAAGCTCCAAGAGCCCAAACCCCTAAACCCTAAACCCTAAACTCCAAGAGCCCTGAACCCCTCAAACGCCGCCGGGGATCAGGGCAATACCTCTCTGTAGCCAGCGACGTGGTCCAGGCGGGCGAGGGGTCAGGGTAAGTAAGCCTGGCATTTTTGCGTTTTGTTTGGGCTTCCGGTTAGGGCTTACGACTACCCGATCCTCAGCTCGAACCCTTTGGATTGCATGCGCGGCCCATAACAATCTAAACTTCATTAGCCCTGGTGTCGGGCTTGGGGAAAGCTCAGGATTGGAGGGTTTCAGGTTTTTGGTTTCGGATTTAGCTTAAACTTCTTGGGTAAACTTGAAGCCTAAAGCTTCAACACCTCGGAGCTTTAGGCCACAGGCTTGCAAATTCCAATGACTGAAAACTCACAAGATTAGGAAGTTATGATAAAGCGTGATATGTGGAGCCTGAGCCATACAGAGCCGATACCACAGCGGCTCGAAAGGTCGGGGGCAACACACCAAGAAAGGATTGCACATGTGCGTTCCTTTGGTTCATAGCTCGTTCGAAGTAGATTCCGGCTGCTTGTAATCCTGTACTTGTTCCAGGCTTTAATCTTGCAAGTTCGCGGGAAGTCCACCGACGGTCATAACATCCTAGTTCATTGCCCAAACCGCAAGCCGCAAACCCCGAAACTCTTAAAACCTCTATACTCCAAACCCCGAAGCCGTAAGGCCTTAACCCTAAACCCTAAACCCTAAACCCCAAACCCTAAACCCCAAACCCTAAACCCTAAACCCCCTAAACCCTAAACCCTAACCCTAAACCCTAAACCCTAAACCCTCCTTGTGGCTCCTCAGATCTACAATTGGGCATCCAAGTCCAGCATGGCAGAGGCCGTCACGCTAAAGGACCGGAAGTGTGTGTTCTTCCGTCGTTCCAAGCCTTGCTCCTGAACCCTGAGCTGCATGATATATAGAAGCCTGAACTTTAAGATGCTACTATGATCCTGAACCCTGAACTGCATAATATATAGAAGCCTGAATATATAAATGCACTATTATTCCCTAGGGTTCCCTAGAACCCTGAACTGTATAGTTACAATCTGGAGGCGAGCTGTGAGGTCTCGATTCGGGTTAGCGCTTTTCTTTCAGTGCTTGGGGCCGTGATTGCTCTCAGCGTAGCTTAACTCCCAGACCCACATCCCAACCTCAACCCCCAACCACAAACCCCAAGCCCAAAACTCCAACAGCCCCAAAGCCATAAGCCTAGGTGCTCTGGTGGATCAAGGGTCACACGGAGCCTATCCTTAAAATTCATAAGACCTTAACCCAAACTGCCCCACGGCATATATGCTAGAATCGAATACAATAGACTATACTACACTATAGCAGGATCTGATATAACATAGTATCATCTAATGTAATATGATACAATGAGATGAAGTACAGCCGTACAGCATAAACTGGCATTATCATGCCGAGTTATACTGTCTGATAAATATGGTCTTACATAATATAATCTATTAGCATATAACGGATGAGAGAATGCAAGATAAATTGAAGAAAACATAAGATATGCTGCAAAATGCAGTATGATATCATGTAGCACAGTGTCGTATCATATTCTACAACGTAACGCCACAGAGCACAATGAATGGAGTAATGCACAACTTGCTGTGTAATATGTAGCACGGAACATATGATGTGCCATATATACTTTATATAGTATATCGTACAGACTCTAATAGTCAATGTTTTGGGGCGAGTGGGGCTGGACCCTGCCGCAGGACCATGGTGCAGCTGTGCTCGGTGTCTGCTCCTTCGGTGCACTTTGAGCATTCCTCGAAGTACTATCGGGATCCAGCAAGTTCGATTGAAAGAGGGAATGTGGCTCCTACTGAGCAACAAGCCCAGTCCCTGTGTTCCGAAAGCCCCCAGCCTCCCTTCAGAGCCAAGCCCACGCATCAGCCGAAAGGGTCGAGAACCACAGCGTAGAGCCCGAAAATGGCTTCAAGTTATTTGAACCCTAAACCCTAAATCCTAAACCCCAAAACCAGGCACTAAACCTCAAGCCTTGGAGCCTGATCTCTAAATTAACCCAACATCAGCTGAAGGCTTCAGCCAGCATGCAATGTCCCTGGCCTCGGTGTGCCTTGGCATCAAAAAAAGGGGCTTAGAGTTTGGTTTGTATAGTGTGGGGTTCAAGGTCTGGGGTGGGCTGGCCCTCATGGGGATTACAAGGCTGTGAGGCTTTCAGGATGTTTGGGATCACCACGAGCCCTACGCAGCCTAAGCCCTCATGGCCCCAGGCCCTCATAAGGCTCCGGGGTTTGCTTTTCGCTGTCGGCACGACCCAAACCCTTTAAACCCTAAACCCTTAAACCCGAAGCCCTAAACCATCAACCACATACCCCGAAACTCCAAACTCCACGCCCTGAAGCCCAAGGTCCATGGATCGGACTCTGAAGATCTTCAAGAACGCCTGAGCTGCGAACGTGCGGTGGGTTCTGGGGGCTCCTTCGAGGGAATGCTCTAAGGTCCACACCTTCAAGAGCTACTTTTGTTTCCTTTTTTGCTATTCTTGTTAACGGGTTAGGTTGAGGTTACATGGCCCAGAGCAGAAGTTGCCACGGCGTTTCATCTTTTTGCTGTTTAGGTTCAGGATCTGGGTATGATCCATCAACATCACTGATAAGAAACCAAAAACGTAGGTTCTGCGAGCGCCTCCCCCGAAGCCATCAGAGAACCCTACAAAACAGAAGAAGTCAAGCAGTCGTAATGGCAAAAGCAATGGCCCTATATCTATTTTCTACCAGTACTGGTAGGGATTCATGTAGCAAGTAATCGGAGGAGAGCACAACGCACATTCGATTCCTTCGTGGTAATTCAGCGGAAAGAGCAGCAACAGACTTCCGTACATTGACAGAAACCGTAGTCTGACTAGAAGACCCTCCTTTCCACGGAGCCCCAGTGCCGCTGTAATTCAGAGCGCCGTGTCGGCCCTGGCAGCGGGTCGCTGGGCCCCTGTCTTTGGGAGTTGGGCGGCTGCGCCGGAAGACGAGTGTGGTTGTTGTTGGAGGTTGATGTGGTTCTATGAAGTTGTAGGAGTTGGAGCAAGGAGTTTGGGGTGTAGCGCAAAGGGCTTCAGGGTCTAGGGTACTGCTACAGTATCTTTGTTGGGGTGTTGTGTTTTGGTGGTGGGTGTGATTGCTTGTACGGATGAGAAATGGGGTTGCGTTGTGGACGTCGAGTTTGGGGTTCATTGGTCGTCTTTGCGTCTTCGGTAGGCAGCCGTGAATATGCTGTGTGCCTCTTGCTGTAGCGGATGGCGAGGCCAAGAAAAAATCGGTCGATGAGAGCGGAAGCCTTCGCAGATTGAGTCATTCAGCTTGCATACCCTGAATCCTGCGACCTAAGCGGCGCACTTATGCCTCCTTAACCCCTCAACCCTAAACTCTAAACCCGAAGCCCTTGCACCTGAAGTCTCTGAGGTCTTCGCCCTCTGCGGTCCCATTGACATGGATCACATGGACAAGATGGACAGCTGCCCAGGCGGTGTGCGAGCTCGCAGTCGAAGACACAGATTCCAACTGAAATATCTTCTGCTATACTGCATTCCATTATACCATACTTTGCAATAGTAGTGCACTTGAGTGGGATTATTGGTTTCAACATGTCAGACAAAGATGGAGATTTGTGTCGTGTTGGGCGTTTTAGCATTGTTTGACCGATCTTCGGCTGAAGCTCTGCATCTGACTCCTCCCCTTTCGCGCACCTGCCGCTCACCGATGGCTGCGACGGCGGCGCAGCTTGGCCCGTTGCAAGGTGCGCCCGTGGTGGTGCTGCTGGGAGGAGTCGGTGTGGGCAAAAGCCTGTTGGCCACAGCCCTCGCCGGGTTGCAGCAGACGAACCCAGTCTTTAAGGTCGGTGACAGCGCCGAGGCCGTGACTTTGCAGGCGACGTGCCATCGTGCACGCTGGTTCGGCCGTGCCAACGAGGAAGAAGTGGTCTTGGTGGACCCGCCGGGTGTGGGCGACGGTGAGCAAGATGCCACGAGGCTGGCACATGTTGTACGGATGCTCCGAGAGTTGGGCAACGTGAGCCTCTTCGTGGTGGTCCTCAACGCAGAGCAGCCGCGCATTGGCAGCATCCTGGAGAATCTGCTCCGCCTCATGGAAGAGTGCTTCAGCAAGCGCTTCTGGCGGCACGTCGTCTTGGCCTTCACACGCTACTACATGGATCCTCGGTCCTCCCGGCGCCGCGGCAACAAGACCAGGGAAATGATGCGCGAGGAGCATGTCAGTTTTGCTTGCATGTGTGCATGCTCCGCCTCACGTCTTGGAGCTTGAGCCCCTTTGCTTGTGCGCATGGCACTGCCAGGAGTTCAGCGCGCTCTTGGCAGCCCAGTTCCCTCACTCCCTCGAGGAGCGCCTCCCGCGCGGCGAGCCCTTCCCCAGCGACTCGGAATGATTGTTCACAGGCAATCTACACAGCCACAGCTTTGGGCGAATAAGTCGAGGCTACTTCGTCGACTCGGAGGCCGCAGTGAACCTCGAGCTGCCTGAAGCCGAGAGGACCCCGGACGGGTTGTGAACTTCAAAGGAACACAACTTGGCCCCTGGCAAAGCGGTGGAAATCTCAAGGACTGCTGCGTTCCTCGAGCTGGAGCGGCTCTCTGTTCTGGCCCGATCCAGCACGAAGCTGCCCACGTGCCTTGATTTAGGGCATTTAGCAGCGTATGTGCTTCGCGTATGTGCTTCGCATGTGCTGAGCAAGGATACTGTCACGAGTTCCATACCTGACCCAGCTTTCTTCATTTTCCTCACGAGAATTAAGAGCAGTGACAGCACGGTGTGAAAGAAAAAACTGGGGCACAGAAAACTGGGGCAGCCAGTGTTTCACGGGCACTGGGGGCATCGGTTGGAGATTTGTGGACCAACAGACCACACATGGCAGCGAACTGCTGATTCAATCCAGCTCAGGCATTCTGGCACTGATGGGCCCAGCAGCTTCCGCTCACTGGCACGCAATCTTTTCCAAGCCACACGAGACATGCTACGCGAGGCGCTTCTGACAGTCATTTCTCCGTAGCGGTCCCTGATATCCCTCGTCGTGCCCCACCTGGTGACCTTGGGCTGTTATCACGATTCTCTAACCATGTGGGCACCAGGGAACGCAGCGAAACAAAGACCAAAGGCCTAGGAGCAGGGCCTGACTTGGAACAAGGTCAGAGCCATTGTCCCTGAGCCTTGAATAGGCTAAAGGCTCGCAGGCATCACACTGTAAATCTGAGCAGGCCGAGCGTCACGGCGAGGAGCCAGACTCTGCCTTCGATATGGATGACTCCGACGAAGCCTTCACACAGCCTCTGTGCTACATCATTAAATGGTTATGAAACCGTTACGCCAGCAATGCTACTGCATGACGATCATTTTGGTGGTGATCATGCTGAATGTGGTGATGATGCCTCTTGACAACGACGATAGTGATGATGATGATGATGATCATAAGGACTATGACGGTGATGATTCTGATGATCATGATGACGAAGTGGTGATGATGCTGATGCTTCTGACGCGGACGACATGCATATGATGCTCGTGATGCTCATGATTGTGGTGGTGATGGTGACACCGATTGTTGATATTAGTAGGATGATCGGGATGATCATGGCTTATTCAACCATGCAGCCGAGATTTAGATTTTCAGCCATTATCTCTTTATTTGCTATCTTGGATAGCCCCGCCGCTGGTGCGCTGTCATGATTAAATGCTCTGTTTAATGCTTGCAATCCTACGGCTAGACTGTTCTGACACTGCTAGAGGGGTATGATCAAACAACGGTAAGTTGTGGATGTATGGATGCATCGCAGTTTTTGGCGACAGGGAGAACTACAGTAGACAGCTCGATGAGAGAGCATGTGTGAGAGTTGCTTTATAAGGTTTTGCATGCAGAAGTGGCTGATGAGACGGATTTCTACTGGAAACAAGCTTTTCGCTGCACATGTGAACTCTAAGCCTCTAAGCGACACAGATTTGTGTTGCGGTCCGGTTTGGTGTCGAAGTTATTAGTCTGAGTGATTCAGAAGGCAGCTGCAGCTTCGAAGAGGTTTTGGGGTGGAGGCTCAAGGGCCGACTTTGGATGGGGAGCCGCCGATGAGAGAGCGGAATGACTAAGCCGAGGCTGTCTGTTGGGTCCCGGGTCGTGGTCCAGGACCTCGTTGCGACTCCCTCCCTGAACGGTGCGCGGCCAAGCATCGGGCGTCGGCTTTCTCCAGAGGTTCGGGACAGGTTCATGGCAGTTCCATAGAGTTTACTTTTCAGTCACTTGTCTACAACCTGTAGTCTCTGATCGGGATGTGTGCTCTTCTGCAGTGTCTTGGCTTCTGTGAGATTCTTTTCGGTCCTTCGGGACAGTGCGGTCCGAGAATGTAACGAATGAAAAACACACACCTAATTCTCCGTGATCATCCGGGGTGGGCTTCTGCTGCAGGTGCACATGGTGTGGTGGACGAGTTTCAAGCGGAGAATGAAAGATATGTCGTAGAGTTTGCGAACGGAAGCCGGAAGCTCATCCACAGGAAGAACTTGAAGTCCAGCCAGGACCCATGCCCATGCCAGTCCGAGCTGGATTGATGTCTGATTGGCAACAGGAGCTCGAGTCTACTAAGAAGATGGATCCGCTGAAGACAGGGGACCTGGCCAAAATCACTGGCCCCACCAATGCCGCAGCCCTGAACGGCCGCGTCTGCAGACTGCAGGCACCACGGGGTGCTGATCGGTACGAGGTGAAGCTTCCGGACGGAGCAGTGAAAGCCGTCAAGGGCTCCAACTTGTGCCGTAGCTGCAGCAGTTCCAGACACTTCAGTGAAGCTGTTTTCCTTTGTTCACATCGTGCCTTTGCCCAGTCAGGACCGTGCTCCCGTCTCTCGGCACAATCGTGACCGCCTCCAACGTCTTCGAGGGAGCGATGGTGCAGCGTGGACCGAGTTGGATCTGGCAGGATCAGGCCTGGCAGGGGCGTGCGTCTGTGGGTTTAAAGCCCGAAGAACGTGCTCAAAGAAGACCTGTTGGGTGTTCTGTAAACTTCACAGCTTGTCATGTCGATAAGCAATTATGGTTGCAGTTGTCTAGCAGGGTGCTTAGTCTAGCAGGCTTAGATGTGGAAGAAGAGAGCTCGTTTGCTAAGTTACGTGGAGCCGGCCGAAGAGGAGTAGTACACCGCCCCCTGTAGACTGAATGTGTAGGATGGCGGCAAGCATTGCTTGGGACGTGTCCTGCATTTCAACGCGGAGACCAGCTGGGCCACAGTGCGGTGGTGCAGTGGGACGACCAACTGTTACCGGATCGGGGTGAACAGCAAGAACGACCTGGAGCATGCAGACTCATTTGCAAACGAGGCCTCGTATCTCGAAGCCGTGAAGAAAGGTACGGATGCCATCCGCAGGTACCACCTCCAGCGTAGTTTCGCGTATCCTTGCGGTGTGAAGAGCTCGCATGTCGATTTCTTCGATATCAGAGACGAGGTTTGCCAGGCCTTCAGTGGCCACAAGCATGGCCAAAGAGTTCGGGTGGGAGGCGTGGAGGCGGTGATGATCGGTGTTGCAGACGCGGGTGACGATTTGGATTGCCTTGTGCCCTACTACCACGCTGACGGCAAAGATGGTGCCAGCTTTTTTGCAAACCCCGAGGCTTGTAAGAGAGCACAAGTTGTCGGACGACAGAAGGTCATGCAGGCCGAACCGCGCCGTGTCGTTGCAGACAATCACGAGCTGCTTGAGGTTGCAAAGGAGGTCACCCCCAGCTTCCAGTATGTCATGGCGCCAAGGTCGTTGCTGCACGGACGGATGGAGCGGTATGACATCCGAGACGAGATTTGCCTGAGGGTTGGTGGCTTCAAGCATGGCCAGGTTGTGAAGGAAGGATGCCAGCATTCCGTTGTCATCGGCGTGGGTCTGGAGGATGGCGTTCCCAAGCTGTTCTTCCACGTGGATGGACAGCCTGGTGCTGGGAAATTCTGTGATCTTCAGAAGAAAAGCTTCGTGGTAGTTGGACCCTCAGGTTTTCACGTCGAGTGAGATATTGTTGAAGCGTGTTGTGCGTGACATTGGGGGAAGGGGTTACTGAATGGACTGTGTCGCTTGCGACTATAGGTTCGATTTGCCGTTAGACACCGAGGTGGGGTCCCGCACTGTAGCGGAGGCACCTGACGACTTCCTTGAACAGCCGGGACTTGCTGAGCTTCGGGTGCTTGCCGCCACTTTGCAGTGTACCTTTGGCTATCCCTGTGGGCCGATGCTGCCACGTTTCGCAGAATTTGACATAAGGGATCACGTCTGCGAGGCCGTCGGCGGGTTCAGGCATGGCCAGAAGGTGCGAGACCATGAAGGCGGCTGCGCTGTAGTGGTAGGCGTCCGGCTTGAAGACGATGTGCCTTGCTTGTTCTTTCACTTGGATGGAACTGTGGGAGCCGGGGAATACAAAGAGTATCACCTTGTGCGGCACAAGTTCGAAGTGATCGGCTCAGCCGCCCTGCAGCAAGTTCCTGCTTCAGATCCACTATTCCAGCTCGGTAGTAAATCCACAGAGAGTCTCCTGCATAGTAAGATGGCGAAGGAGGCCTTTTCAGCCATAAACAGCCTCCCCGTGTATGCGTGTGACTTCCAGTACGACCCGACTTTCTGCTATCCGCTGAAGTCCTTGGAAGCAGCGTATTTCGATGTCAGGGACGAGGTATGTGAGATGGTTGGCGGCTTCAAGCACGGTGATATCGTCAATCTCGTTGGTCTGGATATCTTTGGTCTGGACGGTCTGAACCACACCGTTGTGGTCATCGGGGTACACCCTGACAGCCGTGGCAAGCCTAATCTCTGGTTGCAGATGGAGGGACAGCCGGGGGCAGGCATATTCCAGGAGCCCCAGCAGAGTCTCATTCGGGTGACAGGTGTTGTTGTCGGCAGGCAAGAAGTCAAAGAGCTTACAGATCCCGAGCCGCGAGTCGGGCAGACCTTCCGGTATCCAGAACGACTTTCAGGGTGGACCAAGAATGCTTTTTTTGACGTTCGCGACGAGGTTTACTTGCAGCTGAATGACTTTGGGCATGGAGAGAGGAAAAAGGTCGGATTCGCAGCGGCCCTTCAAAATGGACTCAAGCTGGAGCTCATGGCTACGACGATGTATATGAAGAGCCTCTGGATCGGGATAGAGACTGTCGTGCAGGTGGGCGGGTGGTGCGCAGGAAAATTCAGGCAGAGGCGTCAGGCTTCATCAAGTTCCTACGAATGCTGCCGCCCAAGGGGTTCGTCTGCTACTCCTGCTACGGAAACACTGCCCAACGAGAATGAAACGTGTGGAGATGCAGTTCTGCTACATCTGTCGCGATGCGGCGGGCCAGTTAAGGAGGCCCTCTTGAGTTCCCCTGAGTTGGCCGAGTGTCTCCAACGCGTTGTGGATGCTGGTTGTGAGGTCACTCCCGAGTGGGCGAACGGAGCCGTGCTGCTCGCTCCCCTGACCGAGGAAGAAGCCACCGACGCCGGACTGAAACTCTATCCACACCATGTCGTGGCTTTCGAAAGTGATACCGACCGTGTGCAAGCAACTCTGCGGGCGTTGCCATGCAAAGTGCGCCCAAGCATAAAACGATGCAGCAAGCTGGAGCAGCTTGCCTTCTACTGGTAGCCTCAGCGCTTCTTGTTCTTCCACGGCAGATGCTAGTAGTACACTGCACCTGGCATGCCTTGATGCACGAACCAGCCAGGCAAGCCGCAAAGCATCAGCCACAACATGCCGAAGACGCAGCGGCTCAGTCTCACAGCTTGAGGCTTCTACGTTTTCAGGCTAGTCTGAATAAAGTCTTACATGCGTGGAACAGAATCCGGGGGCCCGACATCAGCAGAGCCAAACTTATGGTGCAACATTCTCCACCGTCAAGCCTGCAATCCTGTAATGTCGCTTGCATCGCGATTTTGGATACCCTGAAGGACTTGGCTGAAAGAGTTTGGCGCCACTTGGGGGAGGAGTGGGGCGTGGCAGCATGGCAGCACCAGATGTCAGATTCAGTGTGTGGAGTAGCAACAGGATTTGGGGTGCATGCTGACAGGGATACGCAGCTTCTGAGCATCTGCAACCGACGGGTCCTCGAAGCAGGTGCTTCAAAGCCCACGTGTACTCGGGATTTCTCGAAAGTGGCCGTTTTGCTCGGATGCCTTGTGCACGCGGGATGCATGGGCTGTTGATGCCGAAAACTAAGTCCTGGGACGGGTTTCGCGTTTCCTTCCCGCGTAGCGTGGACCGGACTCAGGGCACATGGTTTTGGAACGTAAGCTTCAGGCTTGGGGTTTGCATTTTGTAGACCCAAACCCAACCTGCAGAGGACCCGTGCACGGCAGAGCAGCCAATCCTTTTCTCCGCGAGACTGAACCCGACGACCCTGACCGTTGCGGTTACATCTCTAGACTCAAAGCCTGATGCCTGCCGCCACAAGATCCAGCTCAGGTTAGGAAGGTGGACCGCACCTTCTGGCACTTCTACTGCACTGACAAAGGCCGCACCCCCTCCGAAACCTCCAGCTCCGCACAATCTGCGGCACCCACGGCAAAGTCGTGTTGAAAGGCAGCACTGTCGGACTTAATCCAACAGCGCAGCCAGGCAACAACGACCCTCAGCTGGGCAACCTTTCAGTTCCGTACTTCCTGTCATGTAAGTTGTAGGCAAGCAGCCCTATCAGTGCGACCTGTGTTGTCTGGCACTGAAGGTTTCAGCCCAGCCCTGTGCAATCCGAAAGGGATGGGTTCTGATTGCCCAGCGAACGCATCGTGGCCAGCCTTCAGCTTGCCGTTCGGTGCTTTGCTGCTCAGAACTTGTTCTCCCTGTAGAGAAGAGGCCAGTGGAGGGAACGAATGTCATTCCCGCCACGGACACAGCAGCTGCAAGCCTTCAGTTTGCAGCTACGTGGTCCCTGGTCTCTAGTTTGTTCATGCAGCCGAGCTTGCTCTAGTCTGTGCTTGTGAACAACAGCGCTTGCACGGTGGCAGCCAGCTAAAACCCAGAGTCCCTTCATGGATGTTCGTGCTTCACGTGGCAGGGCTAGAGCTGTCAAAATCGCGTGCTGTCGGAGCTCCGTTTCTAGCCAGCGAACCTCAAGTGAAAGCACTGTGTTTTATCGGCATCCCTCCTCACTCTGAGCTTTCTTGCGACATGCCGATTTCCTACCGTGTCCCGCCACAGCTGCAACGCGATGATGGGGCGGCTGGGTGCGAACTTGGAGTAAAGGGATAGGTCACGCTCATTCGGGGGCTTTGGTCGTGCGAAGTCGGAAATGAATTTGCTTTCTTTTCGTATGGGCAGTGTGGTGTCGCAACTGCTCCATGCACAGCTGTAGTGCCTTCGTGGCAAGCCTGCTGAGAAATCCTGAATCCAAGTAGCCGCACAACGATTGCTTGGAGGTTGAGGCCCCGCGGGACCCCAGCCAAGCTCAGGTTGACAGATGCATTACCATCCAGACTGGAGGGCTCACACCAGCGCATGCCTATCTCTTCGAGGATGGCTCCGTGACTGACAGAGACCATAGCATGTGGGTGCAGAATGTACAGTCGATCGCTACGACCTCCTCGGCATTCGCGGCATTGCGAACTGACGGGACGGTGGCCACCTGGGGAAATCCCAATCAGGGAGGTGACTGCAGTGCTGTGCAGCAACAGCTTCGAGAAGTGGAAAGCCTGGCTGCAACCGACGTGGCATTCGCTGCTCTCCTCCGCAACAAGTGTGTGGTGACCTGGGGCGACGCCCGCGACGGAGGCGACTGTGAGATGGTTCGTGACGAGCTCAAGGAGGTGAAGGCTGTCGCAGGCTGCTCCTGCGCTTTTGCAGCTCTGCTGGGCAATGGAAAGATCGTCACCTGGGGCGACGAGTTTGCCGACACTCGGTCCATCAGAGACGAGCTGCAGTGCGTCGAAGACATCAGGGGCCTACGGACTCGCGCAGCTTTCGCAGCGCTGCTGCGAAATGGTAAGGAAGGGGCCTCCAAGGGCACATGCAGATATGAGGGTCCTATCTCTGCTGTGATAGGGTTTCAACATAGCCGTGTTTAGGGAATCCATTTGGGGTTTCTTACCAGGTGGTGACATGGCAAGAACCAGAGCTGACCCCTTCACCTGCCGTACAGCAGATGTTGCAGAGCGACGTGGTCCAGCTGGAGGCGTACGACGACGTTTTCGAGGCCTTGAAGAGTGATGGAACAAAGATCTCCTGGGGCGCAGCCGGGCATCCTTCCGAGAGGCCAAGCTGCCAGCAAGAATCAACATACGTCAAGGACTACATAGCCACTAATTAGGCCCTCGGTCACTCGAGTTTTGATAGTACCAGAGGCTGCCACAGCTCTTCTAATCACTAAGTTTCCTAATTATGTTGCAACTTGAGCCCCTGAACAGGCAAAGTCTTTTGGACTTCCATCTGGAGTGTCTTGTGTGAGGGTCCTCGCATAGATCCGCTGCGAACTTCTCACAAAGTTGCAATTTTGGGGGCCCGGAAGCTCGGGCCTTGGGTCGAGGGGCTGTGTTGATGCCCCAGTCGAGGCTGCGGAAGGGCATGCCGTCAGCGTGCTCTTGGTGCTTTGACTTTTCCAAAAGGTTCCCAGCTTTTCAATAGAATAGTCCATGGGAAGTTCCTCGAAACTGAACTGAACCATGTGATGCAGATGCTTGGACCCTTTGTCTTTGGCTGTCTAGGGCACTGTGCCTCCGCGGCCACTATGCGTCAGCAACGCCGGACATGCAAGTTGCGAGCTATCAGCTTGCGGCTTGCCAACCTGGCAGCTGGCAACATGTATAGGATTAGCGTCTGCAGTTGTTGCTGCTTGAGCTCGATATACTGCAGACCCAATTTCTGATTTCAGGGTCGCGTGCTGTGCAGATGGAAAAGGTGGCAACAGCATCGCTTTCGGCTCGAAGTCCACCATCAGCCTGAATCACATACTCCGTCATTTTGCCCAACACTGGGGTCCGGCCACCCCCCCCCTGCCTGCACCCGAAGTTCGGGCTCCCCTACCCCTCAACCCTACACCCCAAACCCTGCATCCTCCATAAGCCCGTAATGTTAGGCACTGTTTCTGCAAGAGCCGGGTGTCGTAGGCCTCGAAGTGAACTACCGACTCTTGTCCTTCATACAAAGCTTTACATAAACAATAATCCTGATTATGGACTGTTAATATCACCCCTTGTTTTCGATGGTTCATATTGCCCATAATATTCTCCCAGGCATACCGCGTCCCCCTGAAGGTTTGGAGAAATGGATCAACTCCACCCACATGGATCACCACCACCATTGGCACCCGAAGTGGATGAGCGCGACCCTCAGTTCCGGGGCGTGCCCGTCCTTTAATGAGGATTGGAAGAGGTTCCCAAAAATCTTTCAGCCAGAACCTATCCAAAATGCCACGGGAGTTCGGAGACTTTTTCTGTTCCAGTCTGGTCACAGGTGCAATTTACCCAAGCACTAAGACTGAGTCTTTAAAATCCTTCAACTCCAAGCCTGAACCTCAGATTCAGAACCAATCCTCTAATCCCTGAACCAAGAGAAAATCCACAGACGTGAAGACCGATTGTGGGAGTTGAGATGAAGGCTTCCAGGCTCAGGTCCCAGGTGCAGGAGAGGATTCTCCATTCAGGATTCAGGGATTTTGCTTTTGGTGCTATTATTAGTCGTAGGGTTTGTTTGGGTTATAGAATTTCACGTTCAGGGGTTTGTGTTGAGGCTGTACAACCGCGGAACTGGGGTTTCGGATTGAGGCTCGAGGTTGTTTCTTACGGTTGGTTTGGAGTTGTGGTTGGGCGGGGCGTACTTTCAGGTCATTGTTGGTAGTGACCCAAGTAAGCCGGGAACTGTATCCTGGTAGTCACAAGCACATGCTGCGACACAGTCCGTCACAATTCACAAACACCATGGACAAGAAGGTAGGTCCAGGCCCCCAAACCAAAGCTCCATGGGCCCTGAAAGACCCAGGCAAGAACCACATGGATCACCACCACCATTGGCACTCCCACTGGCTGCGCGGAGCGCGGCACTAGCGGGGAGGGTGGGCCTTGCTCCAGAGTTGGGGCCCTTGCAGGCTTCGGGTCTTCTGGTGTCTGCCCAGATGCTACGGTTGATGATATAAACCCTGCATTACCTTAATGGCCCTAAACTATGAGAGCTATGGGATATTTCTTATTATGGGTAATGCAGGATTTATATCATCAACCGTAAGGCCCAATTCTAAAACATTCTTTCCAATAGCCCAACGAAGTGGTAAGATGTGCGGGAAGCAGGCGACTATAGCCGCAACCCTTTTTGATCGGCGGTTATCTCAGTACACACTTTCTGCATGAGGAGGGGGGGGAGGGAGGGGCGGTCGAGGAACTTTTGGGAGTTTAGCATGCAAGGTTCCAGAACTTGGAGTCCGGAGGTTAAATCTGTAGTGTCTGCAGCGCAGGTCCGGGCAGAAGCCTGCAAAACAGCTACTGCGAGAGAGAATTGTAGTTGGGCTTCAGCAGCGTGTGACTGTAAATGTAGGTTGCTGGAACCACAGGCCACGGAGCTCCAGCTGTCACCTTACTTCCGCAATCCTGCGCTTCAAGCCCTGCCGGCTTTGGCCTCCGCCACGAGTCCACCAAAGCCAGGATTAAGACCCCATGCTGAACTAAGCCCAAGCAAACCCAATGCCTCAACTCTTCACCCTGAGTCCGACAATAATTCCAACCTGTCAAGCCCCTCAAACTGCCAGAACCCCAAGCCCCAAACGAAACCTTGCACGTAACCTAGACCTCAAAACCCTGAAACGCCGTTTGTCAGAACCCTTAGCCCTTATGAAACTTATGAAGCATGAACTACACTCCTTGATAAAACCATACATCTCCGCAGAAGAGAACCACACAGGATCCTTCCACCACGAGACCCCGTCGCCGACGGTGTCCTCTCCGGTGTCCCTCTCTCAGCACTGCTTTTGTAGGCCAGACCCTGCAGGAAATGAAGCCTACATGCAAAAGTCCAACGCTTCGAGGATGCTTATGTACGTATGTGTTCATGTGTAGGCATCATGTATGTATGTACATATACAGACATGCACAGCTGCATAACAAAGACACCTACGCAGACGAGCTTTTTGCACGTCTCGGAGTCTTTAGAATTCACGGTCTCAAAGCTTTGGGCGAATTCAAAGCTCCTAACCCTAAAGCGCTAAACCCTTCGAGCTAAATGCGTTGACACGTATGGCCGTGCTTTCGAGACTGCCGATTCTGGGCGCAGGGGTAACGGGGATACCCGTAAACTCTTGAAACGCCTTGACACCAAGTCCTCCTAAACCCTAGACGCAAAACGCTAATAAAGCCGGATGTAAAGAACCAGGTTCTTCGACAAGGCCGTCGAGGAGGAAGCGCTAGGTGGGGCCATATATACGCGCGAACATTGCTATCCATATGCAAGTATTTGTAGATGGATAGAAAGGTCGATAGATAGATAGAAAGGTAGACAGATAGATCGATCGGGAGATAGATAGATAGACAGACAGAGAGGTCGATCGATCGGTAGATAGATGGATACATAGACAGCTGGATAGGGAGATACATCGATCGGTA